ATTCAGAGCAAATAGAAAAGTGAAAAACAAAACAAAAACAAGAAACTAAAACTGAAATGAAAACGCTTTGACATTTGACAGAACATAAAGATCAAATATCAAAAGCCTCTCCAAACAACATCTGTATCAAAGAACAAACAGTCAAACATATTTCGTAAAAAGGTCTACAATTTATTCAACACATCAATATTGACAGTTTTCTAAAGTTTCATGCATTTTGAGACACATACAACAGATAAATGTAATTAATTCCATTATCAAAGTTCCACAGTCTTCCACAATAGTGAAATTCGGTCATCATAACTGAAAATTATTAGTTTCATTATTTTTGCCAAAGAAAAACATAATATGGGCTTGTTTCATTACTTTTATGATGATTATAATGTAATTAATGACAAAGAAAACTTAATACTGATAATAACTATGTTTATTCAGGAATCATTGTGTTTTATCAATATCGACCTGAACCACAGTATAAACAGAGTGTCTGTATTGATCATACAGATGTGTAACACTAGCAAGAATGTATGAGTGAGTGAGTGAGCTTAATGTTGCTTCGAACATTATTTCAGTTATATCATAGGCATGTCAGTTTTAAAACCTGAAGTGATGCAGGTCTCAGACGTTTACCGCTTTGGTAAAATCCATGAGCATGGGTATGGTGCTGACAAACCTAGAACCACAATCAGGGTTGAATAGGATTCGAACCCATGATCATAGGTTTCTGACCTGTCCAAGGGAAGCAACTCTGCACAGCGAATTGTGGTGCCTCAGATAGTGGGGTCATCAATGCCCTTAAGGTGAGTGAGTCCAGTAAAATCACAGCTAAAATGGCCAGAAATATATCATCATCATCATCATCATCATCATCATCAACATCATCAACATCATCATCATCATTTCACATATTATGTTATGGGAATCGGATCTAGTACTTCGGCATGATGAGTTTATGCTTTAACCACTAGGCTATGTACTCACTGCCCCCAATTACACTGAAACAACTCCCTTCACTCTTGCGATGAAAACAACCTTTACAGGACTGGCAACACCTGGCTCCATGTTCACAAACAGACAGGTGATATATTCAATATAACATATTGAACAACCAGTAGGTCATGAAGACAGGTTTCAGAAACAATAACTTTGACATGTCTTACAAATATACATTCCTCATATTAGCACAAGTATTGGAACTTGGATTGGCATGTACGTTATCCACCTTTTTATTAAATCATTCTACCCATGAAGATCAGGGTTAGAATGTCTTCAGCAACCCATGCTTGTCGTTAGAGGTGACCAACAGGATCTGGTGGTCAGGCTCACTGACTTGGTTCATGATTGTCATCATATCCCAGTTTGTTGTATCGATGCTCATGAAGTCAATCACTGGATTGTCTGGTCCAGACTCAATTATTTACAGACCGCCGTCATATAGCTGGAATATTGCTGAGCGCAGCTTTACAAACAACAAACAAACAAAGAATCAAACATTAAATCATTCACGGATTCATGTTGAGTGAGTGAGTTGTTTTGCTGCTGTTAGTAACCTTGAAGCTATATCATGGCAGGGGACAGTCAGAGCTGGTTTTGCACATTGTACCCATACATAAGGGAAGGGAAACATGGAACGTCCTACCATAAAGCTATCTACCACTCCATTCATGTAAAGTCAACTATAAATATGATACAGAAGAAATTGAACAGAAATGGTTGTTTATGCAAATAACAAATTTCAGGTTCTTGAACTGATTTTCAAAATCCCTTTGAATTTGCTACATCCAGTTGACAGTGATATCACTCCATTTTATCCCGGAACATTTGTGTCACCACAAATGGATGTCCTGACATTTGAAAATATCCACATGATAGCTTCTCTTTCAGTTCATGTCAGCACATCCTCTCACTGTATGTTCTCTACACCAGATCTCACAAATGGTCGTTAAATATATTCAGTTCATCTCATTTCATCCTCAAACACATACATTGGTTAAAAGGCTTGCATATAACATTCACTAGAAGCAAAGGCAGAAGGTAGAATATAAACCACGGAAGAGTTCCAAAGAGGAAATGTCAAGCCCAATCTATCGCTGATCTAATAGATCCATACTCTGTGCCTCCAGTGGTACAATGAAACAATTTACAAATGAGGCATATTCCTAAATTGAATCTCGTACTTTTACATACATGGCTTCCATGCAGGGTGGTGTTTAGGGTAAGAGGGTAAGGGCTCTCATGACATTCTCATCCCAGGGAGACCATAGACTTGTAAATAGGTAAATGGAAAAAAGCCTTGGGGTGCCTAATTAGACGGACATTCTACCGCAGACAGGCAGAACAGGCATAAAATACATCGTGATGGTTGGCCAGGTCTGTCATATATGATCCAATTTCGGCAATTTAGAAGTATGATCGAGTGAATTTTGAGTAGCACAATAAAGGATGTCTTATAAATCAATGACGTTAGCAATGTATGATATATGGAGTTTTACTGTCTAACTGATATAAGTGCCAGTGAACCTTAAATTTCAATAACAACACTAATTGGATCACGGTTTCATTTCCCAAAGTGATTTTAAAGCAGCAGTAGAAAGGCTGGAGTCTCCAGTATACAAAGCCTAAGAGACAAGTGTCTGAATTTATAATACAAGGGAATAAATTTGCACTTTCACATGATGTCAACATTTTGATGTATAGGCCAATGAATCGCCCATCCTTCAACACAATCCAACATGCCTATGTATCAATAAGGATTCAACTAGTACATTATGGTATGAATAGATTCCAATAAAATGTATTGATGCTTTCAAATGTTCTAAAAGGACAATTTCGCATTCAAATGGCTTGAAAAATTGAACATAGCGGCTCAAGGCCTGTTATTTCAAAGACAAACTGATGCAATTATGCAATGCATTATTTATTACACCGCCTTAAGTGCTACAATATGCATTACAAACTTTTCATAATGCTGCATATGTTGAATATTTATTATATATGAGCAAGCGAGCGAGTATGGTTTTACGCCGCTTTTTAACAATATTCCAGCAATATCACCGCGGGGGGACACCAGAAATGGGCTTCACACATTGTACCCATGTCGGGAATCGAACCCGGGTCTTCGGCGTGACGAGCAAACGCTTTAACCACTAGGCTACCCGACCGCCCCTTATTATACATGAAGTTACATCACTTTATATTAAGTTTCAGTTGAAAAATATATATATACGACAATATTCATGATATATGTCATGGATAAATACATCCTTATGTGGCATTCATGAAAGATCATGATATTTAGCAATCAGGATATACTCACAGATAACCATACATACTAAAGTCAAGGAAGAGAATTTATGAATGTCATCTTCTTTATTATGAGGATCACAACATTTCCGAGTATATATTTACGTAGGAGTAAGTATATACTCCGAAACGCTGTGTTCCTCATAATAAAGATGTTGACATCCATAAATTCTCATGCTTATGTGTATCACTTCTAAATGTGTTTCAAAGACTTCAAACTTAGGTTGTATTCAAAAGTATCAAACTGTAATAATCATGATATATATATATATTCAATATCACCAATTATTAAGATATATGAGATATATGAGATATATTCATTTTTACTACGAGCACCAGAAACACAAGCCCACAAATCCCGCGTCTGTGGACCTTAGCATACCATAACAGGATAAAATGACAAGAGGCATATTTTCAAAACGATTCAACTTATGCATGGCATGAAGATAAACAAGGGAGCAACTGTGAAGTATTATCATCTAAGTGTCAAGGATTTAGACAAACACAGATTTTACTGGTCTGTAATGTACCGAAATGAGACAAAATGTTTCTCCAAGTCATCTCTGAAGTAGCCGGTGAGATCCTGGTGAGATTTGCTCCACATCTCTCAGTATTGTGCTGGCTGATAGGAAGGATTGTTTGTTTTGAAATGTCAAGGAGACTCCACAATACAAGAAGCGTGGACAGTAACTGAGAAGACCCGACCAATCAATCAATCGTCATCAGTTTGAGATTGTAATCACTCAATCATCAACCCTATTGATAACTCTTATACCATATCATCATGTAATATTTACCCCTCCAGTGTCAATATCATTGCTTGAACAAAATTCCTGAACTTCAGTTTTAAAACCATTATCAATATATAACATTGTAATTCATCAGATGATTTTTTCCAGTTAACTATACATCAGTTTTTCCCTCATTTGATACAAGTGTCATTTATGGTTGAATGATTGATAAGCAGGATTACACGTACAGCTAATCTGAAATGTGACACGACAAAATGTTGACAATGATGAAAGTAACGTAAACAGTACTGTATAAATGTGTAGGCTGCTGGCTGAAGCAAGTTTGAGAGCAGGATGTTACATGTACTTACACAACAGACACATACACTATCAAGTTACACGAGGTTGATACTGATGGACAGAGGTACCCAGATTCAGGTCAGCTGAGGATGCTGTGTGTGAAGTGTATGTGCTGTTAGCCAGCACCATATGTTATGTGCAACCCTCCTAATCCCTGGACCACCAAAACAGTAATGGAAAGACATGAACACGAGAGATGATTCATTCCTCTTACACCAACACATAACCCTTCCCAACAACAATCCACGTTCACGTAAAGGGTACCCTCAAACACATAACACAGCATTGTGAAAGTAGTACAGCATTAGTGCCAGGGCACTTACAGGAAGAACGTACCCAGTGCCATACACTCTCAGTTGGTCACTGGTAATTCTGTGGTCATGGGTTGAGAAGGGAATGATAAATACAGCTTACCAGTTGTGTAGAGAATTGCAGTCATAGTAAGGCTAAGTGACAGCTAGGTAGAGCACAGAGATACAAGCATGAACTGTGGAACCCCGAGGCTGGAGGCAAGGCATCACAGTTCAGTGTTTACACTGGGTGTGAAGGAATAACGGCTTCGGCTTATCAGGAAACGAGGGCATTCTGATGCAAACGCGGCCTTACCTTACTGTTGTCCATTCTGAATAATGGTCCCTGCATCACCCTGCAGCAAATAATGAATTGAGCATTGAATAATGGAGTAGAGTCCAGAGTAACAGCAAGTGATTGACTGGCAGTGTGCCTGCCTCTATGTTGTGAGTGGGACTGAGACGCTTCTCAGCCTGCAAGCCTGCTCACTCTCTCTGTCGGTCGGTCGGTCGGTCAGAGTAGTTAGCTGAGAGACTGCTGGTGCGAACCACTCTGCTGGAGAGACACACACAGAGAGGAGAGAGGGCTGCCAATACCCCAGTGGAGCTGCATCAGACGGACTGAGGGCCAGACAGACAGAGAGACAGGTTCTCTTATGGGTAGGGGGTAGATTGTGTGATCACAATATGGGGTAGCAGACGTCTGATGAACCGAGAGGGTGCAGAGAAATGGTGGATTTCAGTGATAGAAAATGATATAACACACCACAAATGGGCACTGGGACAGACATCTGTCAAGTTTTTTCACTACTTCAGGGTGGCCATGGAAGATCATTAAGTTAAGCAACAGACTCCAAAAGACAAAACCGCAAGGTTGATAATAGCTGGTCTTGAAACTACCTTATCTCTCGGTTTAAGGTTGGGTCAGATACAGCAGATTAAGCAGACGGATTGGAATTGCTGATATTTGCTGCAAATGATTAAGAAGTTTATTGTATGCCCAGACAGCAAACGGACATGTTGGGTTGAGTAATTAGATAATCTTCTCCACAGGGCAGAAGAGGAATTTGATTAGCAAAGACAAGACATATCCTGAATTGTATGTATAATGACCGTCTAACATGGAAGACTTGTGTCGATCTCCCCTTGAATGACTGTCAGGTGCAGCTTGATAACTCCACAGTAAGGACACAGACATGAAAATGAGACAGCGAGTTTTATGAGTCAGTACAGGTAGCACTGCAGTACCAGACTGGGGAATAGACATATTGATTTTCTTTATGAGGACAAATGGACATCCATGATGCTTGACAAATGGCAGAAGTGACATACATTCTAACATCTTGTATTACTGATGTGGATATATATAACAAACATTGGTAAATGGGGTTTGTTTTTTTGTTTGACGCCCCAGTCAGCAATATTTCAGCTGCCTGTAAATAATTGAGTCTGAGCCACAGAAACCAGTGATTGATATTATGAGCAGTGATCCACTCATTGGCGTATGAAAATACACAATCCACAAAGTCTCTCAGCCTGACCACCCGATCCATTTAGTCACCGTTTACGACCAGTATAGGGTGCTAGGGACCTATTCTAACCCAGGATCCCCACTGGGAGGTAATTATATGGGACTGAATGGTTACAGTGATTCATTTTTTTTATTCTCTGATTGTTTTTGTGACCTGCTTAGTGAAGGACTAAAAGCTGAAGCAACAAAATTTTCCTCAATTATAAAAATGAATTTGTGGCAAATGAATGGGTCTGGCTGCAAAGGTGATTTAGTACAGCTGTTGTATGTGGGCTGAAAAGCTGATGCCACAATTATTACTTAAGTGAGAATGATTAAATGGGTCGACATGTATGATGCACGAGTGATTGCAGAAATCAATAAGTGGGACGTTACATCATGTCAGAAAGTGGTCAGGGACCTGCAATATGTTGGGTGGCAGGCTGGAACACTCAAGACTTCTTAGAGATCGTTGCAGAAGTTGACAATCAGCCACCACATGTACTACCTTAAGGGACCTACCATTTCATTTCAAGGATGTATGTCTTACAATTCTTTTCTCTGAAAGACAAACAATTTTCGGGAGATCACAACACATTTCTCCCCTACCAGAGGATCAAATGTTCGGTCCCTTAACATTGTTAGTGGGTGGTTGAAAACACAGTCATCCTGAAACTTTTGCCATTATGTCCAAATTTATTGTCATTAAAAAGTTAAAAACATAAATAAATATTCAATGCAATAAGCTAGGTGGGTGGGTGGTAAAATTCGAAGTTAAATGTTTTCGTTTAGCAGTTGACTGTCAAATTTTGAGATAGCCCCTTTATAACATTTAAGTTCACCACTGGTTTGAACTGTATAAATGTTATATCATTATATGAATCTACATGCAAATGAAAGGGGTACAGAATGTTGAATGGATTCGCCCACTTTTCACAAAGCCATTGGTCGGTTAAACAATGTAGTTTCTAGCCTGAGAACTGGATGCATTTGTTGTACAATGTAGTTTCTAGTCTGAGTACTGGTTGTATTTGTTGTACAATGTAGTTTCTAGCCTGAGAACTGGTTGTATTTGTTGTACAATGTAGTTTCTAGTCTGAGTACTGGTTGTATTTGTTGCACAATGTAGTTTCTAGTCTGAGTACTGGTTGTATTTGTTGTACAATGTAGTTTCTAGTCTGAGTACTGGTTGTATTTGTTGTACAATGTAGTTTCTAATCCGAGAACTGTTTGTATTTGTTGTACAATGTAGTTTCTAGCCTGAGAACTGGTTGGATTTGTTGTACAATGTAGTTTCTAGTCTGAGTACTGGTTGTATTTGTTGCACAATGTAGTTTCTAGTCTGAGTACTGGTTGTATTTGTTGTACAATGTAGTTTCTAGCCTGAGAACTGGTTGTATTTGTTGTACAATGTAGTTTCTAGTCTGAGTACTGGTTGTATTTGTTGCACAATGTAGTTTCTAGTCTGAGTACTGGTTGTATTTGTTGTACAATGTAGTTTCTAGCCTGAGTACTGGTTGTATTTGTTGTACAATGTAGTTTCTAGCCTGAGTACTGGTTGCATTTGTTGTACAATGTAGTTTCTAGCCTGAGTACTGGTTGTATTTGTTGTACAATGTAGTTTCTAGCATGAGTACTGGGCCCTGTTTGACAAAGCAATCTTAGTGCTATGATCATCCTAAGACCATGTTAAAGTATGGGACTTAAAATCACCTTAGGGCTAAGATCGCTCTGTTGAATTGGGTTCTGGTTGCGTTAGTTGTACAAAGTAGATCCCAGCTTGAGAATTGGTGGTATTTCTTGTACAAGTCCGAGCATAGGTTCAATATTCCAAGCTTGAGCAAGTCATGACAGAATAGACATATTGGACGGATGCTGGAGAGAAAGCTTACACCAGACTGATTGATTTGCCATATAAATAGATAAACTAGTGACTGTAGGCAGATCGAGGTCTAAAATAGAGACAGGAATTACATAGGTGGGCCTTGACAGATCACCATAGTCATCCCTCACACATAGGTAGGTGAACTTGAAGGAGGACGTCCCTCACACACAGGTGGGAGGACGTGAAGGAGGACGTCCCTCACACACAGGTGGGAGGACGTGAAGGAGGACATCCCTCACACATAGGTAGGTGAACTTGAAGGAGGACTTCCCTCACACACAGGTGGGAGGACATGTGGGAGGACTTGAAGGAGGACATCCCTTACACAGAGGTGGGAGGACGTGGAGGAGAACATTTAGGACACCCCTCACACACAGGTGGGAGGACGTGAAGGAGGACATAAATCACACACGGGTGGGAGGACATGAAGGAGGATATCCCTTATACACAGGTGGGAGGATGTGAAGGAGGACATACCTCACAGACAGGTGGGAGGACGTGAAGGAGGATATCCCTTTAACACAGGTGGGAGGATGTGAAGTAGGACATACCTCACACACAGGCGAGAGGACGTGAAGGAGGACATCCCTCAAAAACAGGTGGGAGGCTGTGAAGGAGGATATCCCTTATACACAGGTGGGAGGATGTGAAGGAGGACATACCTCACGCACAGGTGAGAGGACGTGAAGGAGGACATCCCTCAAAAACAGGTTGGAGGACATGAAGGAGGACATTCCGCACATACAGGTGGGAGGACGTGAAGGAGGACATCCCTCAAAAACAGGTTGGAGGACATGAAGGAGGACATCCCGCACATACAGGTGGGAGGACGTGAAGGAGGACATCCCTCAAAAACAGGTTGGAGGACATGAAGGAGGACATCCCGCACATACAGGTGGGAGGACGTGAAGGAGGACATCCCTCAAAAACAGGTTGGAGGACATGAAGGAGGACATCCTACACATACAGGTGGGAGGACGTGAAGGAGGACATCTCACACACACAGGTGGGAGGACATGAAGGAGGACATCCAACACACACAGGTGGGAGGACATGATGCAGGACATCCCTCAAACACAGGTTGGAGGACATGAAGGAGGACATCCCTCAAAAACAGGTTGGAGGACATCCCTCAAAAACAGGTTGGAGGACATGAAGGAGGACATCCCACACATACAGGTGGGAGGACGTGAAGAAGGACATCCCTCACACACAGGTGGGAGGACGTGAAGGAGGACATCCCTCACACACAGGTGGGAGGACGTGAAGGAGGTCATCCCACAAACACAGGTGGGAGGACGTGAAGGAGGACATCCCACACACACAGGTGGGAGGACATGAAGGAAGACATCCCTCACACACAGGTGGGAGGACATGAAGGAGGACATCCCTCACACACAGGTGGGAGGACGTAAAGGAGGACATCGCTCACAGACAGGTGGGAGGACGTGAAAGAGGACATCCCACACACACAGGTGGGAGGACGTGAAGGAGGACATCCCACACACACAGGTGGGAGGACATGAAGGAAGACATCCCTCGCACACAGGTGGGAGGACGTGAAGGAGGACATCCCTCACACACATACGGGAGGACATGAAGGAGGACATGAAAAAAGATCTCCCTTACACAGAGCTGGGGCGACATGGAGGCTGGGCTCAGGTTGAAGAGAGTAGTTTTAGACTGTTTTAGTTTGTAATAGCACAAACAAATCTATAGCAGACATATTTGTGATTAGTTTGGTTCATTTCTGTCCTGAATCTGCTGTGTGGGTCTGGCAGGCAGAGGGACAATACATACTATTCCAATCACAGTAAAATACTGAGTAGTAGGACGCCAGACTGAGTTGAGACTATAGATGGGTGTTACAGAAGCAGTGCTACTTGTGGAGAACCATCACCAACTCTCCAGGGTACCTAAGATAGATGTCTCGTTTGTCACAGCCAGAATAGCAAATCAAACACCATTGAATTTGGAAGGACACGAAAGTCAGATGTACATAAGATAGACTCAAAGGTGTACGACAAATGTAGGAGGGGAGTAGACCTTGTTAACATCATGATGATTGTGTATTATATTTAACCCGAGTCCGGGAAAGATGTGCCTGAGGATACAGGACGAAGAGACAGAT